CAAAATCATCAATGAGAAATAATTGCCTAAATCACTTTTTATATAGACTTATTTTTATATAGACTTATTTTTATATAGATTTATAGGAAGTGTAATCTCCTGAACTCTTAAATATACTGATGACTTTACTTTTTGGTTATACTTTTCTTTTGGGTGTTTAAGACCATACAGTTGGCCCAAATAAATCAACTTATTTTTACACTTAAGGTCATTTGAGAGTCTGTTCCTCAGGGGTCACATGGGCTTGGGAGGAGCTCCTGGCTCCTTTCTTTCACTAGTTTCATCTGTGTGAAGATAAGTCAAAGGTCCTGATCAACCATGTCTGGCTTCACTTGGAAGCATGAATGAGATGTTTCCTCTGAGTTGACCCTCCTCTTTGTAGACTGGACACTGGTTTAAGTCCATCTCGTGAGGTTTCCATGTCCTCTGTGAACAAGAGGACGGGTGACTCACCACGGTTACAGGACATTTTGAGAGATGTTCCATAGTCCCCTGGAACTTAGTCAACCTTGGAGGGCAAGGGGCAAAAAGTGACAGACAGGTTTTAGTTGTCATGTGGGTGCTGGGATTTGAACCCGGGTCTTCTGCAAGAACAGCCAGTGTTCTTAACCGCTGAGCCATCTCTACAGCCCCCACCTCTCATTTTCTTAATGATTTTTATGTCTTTGCTTAATATTTTTCTTTAAATTTGTTAAACAAAACATTTCTTAAATGGTTCTTTTTTAAAAGTCTCTATATTTCTCATCCGGGAGTTGAGGGGTGAGAATAGAGTCTAGGTTTCCTTTTTTAAAGAGATAAAAATATGCATGTTTGTATATTTTAAATTACCTATAGCCCTTCTGATTACTGAGTTTACTTTATTGATCTTTTTTCTTGTTAATATGAAGTCTGTGTTTTTCATCTTGTATGCATTTATAAAGCATAGTGATAGTTTTAGTGTATTTGCTTGGTTCATGAACTCTTTTGCTCATAGAAATGGACGACAGTTTTGATGATTTAAAAATAAACCATGAAAAGAAAGAATTGGGTGAAGATAAAATGGTACCAAACTCAAGTTTTGCATCATTACCATCAGCTGCTGTTGATCATCAGATTGAAGTCCTTCTGTCTGAATGGAGTAAAAATGCAGACATGCTTTTCAGTATTCATCCCATGGATGGTTCTCTACTAGTTTGGCATGTAGATTGGCTGGATGAATACCAGCCTGGTATGTTTCGTCAAGTACAGGTACTGTTATGATCTGTGATTCTTCTTTATGTGAATACTGTTTTGTGTAATTATATGTTCTAATGCCTGCTCTCTTAATTCTAGGTGTCCTTTGTTTCCAGAATTCCTGTAGCTTTCCCCACAGGTGATGCAAACTCTCTCTGTAAAAGCATAGTAATGTATGCCTGTACCAAGAATGTTGACTTGGCTATTCAACAAGGAAAACAGAAACCCAGCCTCACTCGTTCCACATCAATGCTTATCTCTTCTGGTCACAATAAATCATCTAATAACTTAAAATTAAGTATTTTTACCCCTAATGTTATGATGATTTCAAAGCATGCTGATGGTTCTTTGAATCAGTGGCTGGTCAGTTTTGCTGAGGAATCTGCTTTTTCTACAGTTCTTAGTATTTCTCACAAATCCAGATACTGTGGTCATCGTTTTCATCTTAATGATTTAGCTTGCCACTCAGTGTTACCTTTATTACTGACAACATCACACCATAATGCATTAAGGACACCAGATGTTGATAACCAGAAGCAATCTCATGGCACTGTAAATACTGAAGAATGTTCCTTGATACAGCAAAATAAAAACACCGTTGAGATGGCATTTCAAGATCCCAATGCAGTTTATAGTGAACTTATACTTTGGAGGGTTGATCCAGTTGGCCCATTATCTTTTTCTGGCGGAGTGTCTGAGCTTGCTCGGATTAATTCTCTTCATGTTTCTGCCTTTTCCAATGTGGCATGGCTCCCTACCCTTATACCGAGTTACTGTCTAGGTAAGCATTCCAATTTATACTTCAGTGATTCAGACTTTCAGACACTATTACTAAAAGGTTAAATTTTAAATGCTTGCAAATACTTTTTAGGTGCGTACTGCAACTCACCTAGTGCATGCTTTGTAGCTAGCGATGGACAGCATCTGAGGTTGTATGAAGCAGTTATTGATGCCAAGAAACTTTTATCTGAGCTTTCCAACCCTGAAATTTCTGTAAGTACTAACTTTATGATGTTTTTAGCTTCTAAACCTGTATTTATCTGGGATGTTCTAGAATTATGACATATAATTTGTGGCAAAGTATAGTTTGTTAGTATATTTTTTCACATTCATATTGTACCTGCATAGTGATTCTAAACTAAACAATTTGTAGTTTCATTTCATTTGTAGTTTCTAGGCTGGAGGTGTAGCTCAGTGGTAGAGTATATATATTAGCATACCTGAGGCCCTTGAATTCAAGCTCTAGCACACACAAAAAAGGGATAAATGGAGACTACCCGCAATATAATGTAGAAGTTGTTGGTTCACCTGTAGTTAAAGGGAGCTAGAATAATTAAGAGTGGAATTTTAATCTTTTTATATACTTTTTCTTGGTCTTTTTAAATTTATTTTTGTTTTACGTATATGAGTGTATTGTCTGCATGTGTGTATGGCATCCATATCGTGCAGTGCCCATGGAGAACAGAATAGGGCATCAATCCCCTGGAACTGGAGTTATGGATGGTTGTTAGCTGCCATGTGGGTGCTGTAATTCGAACCCAGGTCTTCTGCAAAAACAGCCAGTTCTCTTAACCACTGAGCCATCTCTCCAGCCCCAGAATTCTAATCTTAAACATGAAAAGAAAAAGCCCTCAGCCTTTTGCTTGGTTGCAGCTCTTCGAATACCCTATAAGGCTTTTACTTTACAAGAGGCCATACTACTTTCTAAACCTAACTAGTGGCGTCTACTGACTGCATTTATTCAGCCCTTTTAGTAAGCAAGCATTTCTGCTTTTTTTCAACTCTAGTGTTGTCTTTTAGTCATTTTGCTGGTTTTGGTTTTATTTTTTTGAGACTTATAGCCCAGGCTAGCCTTGAATGCACAGTTCTTTTGCTTCAGCCTTCTTCTTTTCTTTTTTTTTTTTCCTTTTTGGTCTTTTTGAGATAGGGTGTCCCTATAGCCCCAGCTGACCTGGAGCTCACTATGTAGATGAGGCTGGCCTCAGAGATCTGCCTACCTCTGCCCCGCCTCCCCCAAGCACTGGGATTACAGGTGAGCACCAGCACACCTGGCTCCTTTTGCTTCAGCCTTCTACATGCTAAGATCATAGGCATATGCCAGCATGCCAAGTTTGTGTGTTTTTAAAAAAAATCTCCTGAGGCAGTCTTCAGGCGGTACTTAAGCTTCTTCCTCAGGAATTTGTTGGGCATTGTTTTAAATGTTAGGTATTTCAGTGTTAAAAATCAAAAATCCATAGGATAAAGCTTATATTCTAATGAAACAAGATAGCAAGGAAAAATAAGTAAAAGTATATTGGTGAACAGGTATTGTAGAGAGAAATAGAATTGCAAAAGAGTGCTAAGTAAGCTGCTGATTATGAGAAAACATTGTAGAAAAGATGTGATTTGAAGGAGGTAAATGAGCTAGATGTGGCTACAGGAAGTGTGAAGAAGGTTGGCCAAGTTCAAAGACCCTGAGGCCAAAACATCCTGGTTATGTAAAAGAACACCTACAAAGGTCATTGCTTGAGTCAAGTAAGTTAGAGTAGTCAGGGACAAAAGTCAGAAAGTTAGCCTGGTCAGATCCTATGGAAGCCCCAAGTCCATCTGGTTAACTTGGACTTTTACTCAAAATGACATAGAAACCATTGAAAATGATAAATAATGATTTGACCTAGGTTTTAAAGAAGTCACTGTGATGACTGTGTAGATAAGATATGGGAAGCAGAATTGGAGTCAAAGAGATCAAGTTAGAAAGTTGTTTTGTTTCAGAAGAAAGATAAAGGAGAGTGCCGGATCCGGCCTCTGCATGAGGGTAAGCTTCCCCAAATTGTGCTATGCCCAACCCACTAATAAGGACCATGTGTGGCCACTCCCACTTCACCGGGGCTAGACCTCTATGTCCTGCAGTAGGGGATGAGACCTTAGCAGACTGTCTGGGAGTGCCAAAATTGGGCCTCCCCTTAGCTAAATTGTGCTGTGAGTGCCCACTAGTAGGGGTTCGGACGTTTGAAGGAAGCCTGAGCGTACCTGACTGGAGCCTTACTTGGGCCTCTGTGGAAGCTCTTGAGTAGCTAATCTGAAGTCTTTCGTTCCCTCCAATATAGAAACCAAGAGAACCTGAAACCTAGACCAACCAATTTTACATACCCAATAAGAAAACAACCAAGGTGCACCAATAAATAATACAAAAGAAGCAGACTTTAACTCAACAAAGGAAAGTTTGAGTTTCATACCAGAATCACAAACAACAAAAGAAGTCCACATGCCAAAGTCACAACAGAAAAATAATAATATGGAAAAACAAAACAGTATGTTCCCACCAAACTCTACCAGTCCTATAGAAGAATTCTACAAGGAAAACCCCCTAGAGATAACTCAGGACACAGAATTTAAAAGAACAATCGTCAACATGATCAAAGAATTCAACAAATTTAAAGAACACACAAATCAAAGAACTAAAAGAAGATCGAGATAAACATTCAGGAAAACCCAGGCTGAAATGAAGAAGGAAGTGAAAAACGGAATAAGACAATTTGAAACAATGGGAGAAAGCCTCATTAATAGAATGAATGAAATGGAAAACAGAGTATCAGTGCTGGAGAACAAAGTCGAAGAATTGGACTGCTCAAGCAAAGATTATGAAAACTTTTAAACTTTTTAAAAATTTTTATTATTTTTATTTTATGTGTATACGTGTATTGCCTATATGTAAGTGCACCTGTGTTGTAAAATGCTCATGGAGGTCAGAAGAGGCTGTTGGATCCCCTGGGACTGGAGTTATGGACAGTTGTTAGCTGCCATGTGGGTGCTGGGATTTGAACCTGGGTCTTCTGCAAGAACAACCAGTGTTTTTAACTGCTGAGCCATCTCTCCAGCCCCAAGATTATGAAAACCTTTAAACACAGAAATAGTATATGCAGGAAATGTGGGACATCATGAAAAGACCAAATCTATGTATCATAGGCATAGAGGTAGAAGAATTTCAAGTTAACAGTATTGACCAGATCTTAAACAGGATTGTAGAAGAGAATTTCCCAAAATTAAGGAAAGACATCCCCATACAAATAAAAGAAGCACATAGAACACCAAATAGACAGGACCAAAAAAGAAACTCCCCACAGCATATTATAGTAAAAAAATTAAATGAGAAAAGAGAGAATACTGAAAGCTGGAAAAGAAAAACTAAAACTCACATATAAAAAGAAAACCCATCAGAGTTACAGCTGACTTATCAATGCAAACTGTGAAAGCCAGAAGAGCCTGGATCAAGGTATTCCCAGTTCTAATGACCGTAGATGCCAAATGTCATTATAGTTGAAGGGTAAAGAAAAATCTTCTATGACATGAATTGGCTGAAAGAATACATGTCCACAAAACTACCCCTTCAAAGAATAGTTGAAGAAATACAAAGAATGGAGAAAGGAACAACTATACCCCTGGGGCAACAGAAAGAAACTAAATGAAGTTGTAATTATGGAAATACAAAATTAGAAAAAGAATGAAACAGTAATCAAAATGATGGCAACCAATTCACATCTTTCAATGATAACTTTAAATATCAATGGACTGAACTCCCCAGTCAACACACTCCTAAATGATGAGTGGGTCAAAGGAGAAATTAAGAAAGAAAAAGTGTTCCTGGAATTAAATGAAAAGGACAATACAACAACACAACATCTGGGAAACTTTAAAAGCAGTCCTAAGAGGGATGTTTATAGCTCTAAGTATCTACATTAAAAAATCAGAAAGAGCACAAATTATTGACTTAACATTGGAGCTCAAGACCCTGGAAAGGCAAGAACAAATGAAACTCAAACCCAGCAGAAGAGAAGAATAACAAAAATCAGAGGAGAAATTAATGATAGAGAAACAAAGAAAACAATACAAATAATCAATAACTCTAAGAGCTGATTCGTTGAAAAGCTAAACAAGATAGACAGACCTTTAGCCCAGTTTAACCAAAAGAAAGCAAATCAAAATCAAAATCAGAGATGAAAGGGGACACATCAAAACAGACACCCAAAAGATCCAGAACATTATAAGGGAATACTTAAAAACCTATACTCTCTTAAATTTGAAAACCTAGGGAAATGGATATCTAAAATCATGGGAACCACCAAAGCTAAACCAAGAAGAGATCAACAGTTTAAACAGGCCCATAACATATAAGGAAATTGAAACAGTAATACAAAACCTCCTGACTAAAAAAAAAAAAAAAAACCCAGGCTCAGATGGATTTACAGCAGAGTTCTACCAGACATTTAAAGAAGATCTGCAACCAGTACTACCAAAATTATTCAAATAGAAACAGGGAACTCCCAGATTCCTTCTATGAAGCCAGCAGATCTTAAAGATACAACCAACAAAGAAAACTATAGACCCATATCTTTAGTGAACATATATGCAAAAATTCTCAACAAAATACTTGCAAATCACATACAGACATACATCAAAAGATCATCCACCATGATCAAGTCGGCTTTTATTGCAGAGATGCAGGGATGGTTCAATATACACAAGTCAATAAATGTCATAAATCAAATAAATGGACCCAAAGACAAAATCCGCATTGTTAATAGATGGAGAAAAGGCCCTCAACAAAGTTCAGCATGCATTCATTATAGAAATCTTAAAGGGAATTGGACTGGAGGAAACAAACTAACATAATTAAAGCTATATACCACAAACCCACAGCCGACAGCATTCTAAATGGGGGGGCGGGGACTGGAAGCATTCCCATTAAAATGGGAACCAGAGAAGGATGTCCACTACCTTCACTCCTTTTCAGTATAGTGCTTGAAACTCTTGCTAGAACAATAAGAGGAGGAAATTAAAGGAATACTAATTGGAAAAGAAGAGGTCAAATTATCCCTTTTTGCAGGTGATATACTATACTTAAGAGATGACAAAAATTCCACCAGAAAATTCCTAGAAACAACACTTTCAGTAAAGTGGCAGGCTATAAAACCAATCTACAAAAATCAGTAGCCTTTCTATATACCAATAACAAGCAATTGGAGAAAGAGTACAGGGAAATGCTCCCATTCACAATTTTTTTTTAAAAAAATAAAATATCTCAGAATAAACCTGACCAAAAACATCAAAGATCTCTACAAAGAAAAATTTAAATCTTTAAAAGAAAGAGATTGAGGAAAACACCATGCTCATGGGTTGGAAGAATTAATATTGTGAAAATGACCATCCTACCAAAAGCAATATATAGATTGAATGCAATCCCAATCAAAGTTCCCATGACATACTTCACAGAATTAGAGAAATCCATCTTTAAATTCATGTGGAAGCACAAAAGACCCTGGATAGCCAAAGCAACCCTGAGCACTAAGGGCAACGCTGGGGAGTAGTATACCATGCTATAGTCATAAAAACAGCATGATACTGGCACAAAAATAGACACATAAAGCAATGTGTCTTCACAGTGATGTCTTCAACATCATTGAAGACCCGAACCTGAGTACATGCAGTTTCAGTCACCTAATACTTGACAAAGGTGCCAAGAACACACAATTGAGGAAAGACAGCATCTTCAGCACATTGCTGGCAAAACTGGATCTCCACTTGCAGAAGAATTAAACTAGAATCTTGGTGTTTCACCTTGCACAAAAGTGCCAGTGCCAGCTGGCCAAGACGGACAGTACCTGAAAGGGGGAGTGAGGATTGAAAGAAAAAACAAGAGACAGAGAAAAGATACTTGGAAGGACTGTCAGTAGAGACTGCAGCCCCGGTTTATTTCAGCTCCGCCTTTTTATACAGAAGAACATCAGACAGCCACCGTTTGCTTAGCTCAATTAGTTTCAACAGCTGTTTTTCCCACCCGCATCTGAGGGTCAATGAGCGGTCAAATACTTGTTGTGAACTCCACCATATAAACACATTCCTCCTGACTTGGCAGATTAGGTACTGGTGTGCAAAACACAAACTCAGTAAACAAGCCTGCCACAGCTTATGTACATAATGGATTAATAGCTCCCAACACAAAAGTCAACTCCAATTGGATCGAAGATCTCAATGTGAAACTGAAAACTCTGAAACTGTTAGAAGAACACAGTGGCAGTAACCTACAAGATATAGATGTAGGGGCTGGAGAGATGGCTTAGCTGTTAAGAACACTGACTGTTCTTGCAGAAGACCCAGGTTTGAATCGCAGGAAACACCCACATGGCAGCTAATTCCAGTTCCAGGGGATCCGACAGCCTCTTCTGTCCTCCACGGGCATTGCATGACACAGGTGCACTTACCTACATGCAGGCAATACATGCATATACATAAAATTAAATAAAAATGAAAATATAAAAAATATGTAGAAAAGGACTAATCAAATACCAATTACTCAGAAATTAAGGTCAGCAATCAACAAGTGGGACCTCATTAAACTAAACAGGTTCTGTGCAGCAAAAGAAACTAAGGGAAGAGAAAGCCCACAGAATGGGAAAAAAAATTTTCACCAGTGACACATCTGACAGAGGTTTAACATCCAGAATATATAAAGAGCTCAAAAAACAAAGAATCAAGAAAACAAATGGCCAGTTAAAAGATGGGCTAAATATCTAATCAAAGAGTTCTCAAAAGAAGAAATAAAGATGGCTAAGAAACATCTTAAAATGTGTTTAACATCATTAGTAATTAGGGGAATACAAATTAATCCACCTTAAGATTTCATTTTACCCCAGTCAGACTGGCTAAGATCAAGAGAACAAATGGTACCAAATGCTGGCGAGGATGTGGTAAAGGGGAACACTCATTCACTGCTGGTGGGATTACAAGCTCGTTCAACCCCTATGAAAAGCAGTGTGAAGAACTCTTAAAAAAGTAAAAATCAACCTACCGTCTGACCCAGTGATACCAGTCCTTGGCATATACCCAAAGGACGCATCCTGTAGCAGAGACATTTGTACAACCATGTTTGTTGCTGCTATTTTCACAATAGCTAAGAGTTAGAAGCACCCTAAGTGCCCTTCAACTGATGAGGAATGGTTAATGAAAATGTTGTACATTTACACAATGGAGTTCTACTCAGAGGTAAAGAAAGAAGAAATAATGAAATTTGCAGGTAAATGGATGGATCTAGAAACTGTTATACTAAGTGAAGTAACACAGACTCAGAAAAACAAAAGACTTCTTTTCCCTTATTTGTGGATTGTAGCTAAATGGGGTAGCTAAATGGGAGGAGGAGAAGGAAGGCTATACAAAGAATTATGGGAATAAAGGGGAAGAGGAGCTCAAAAGAGGTGGGACCATAGCATCCAGAAATTATCAAGGGAGAAAAGTGCAAAATGGGGACACTTTAAATGGTGATTTGTTGAACGAGGATAAGAGAGGGATAGAAAGAGGAGAGAAAAATAGTGCCTAGCTAGTATGAATACCAGAGGGAATTATATTAGTCCCAAAATGTATTGAAAAATCACACATACAAAATCCTTTCATGAGCCTGTGAGTATAGCTGAAAACTACATAATAAGAAACTGCCAGACAGGAGAAACCTTCCTTTGAGTTGTCCACCAGGGTAGTCCAAGAAACTCCCAAAATTATTACAGTCCTTGATTACCTCCCAGAACTTGAAGGTAAGACCCTATTGCTGAAGACAGGACATACTTTGGACACAGGATTTGGAGCAACAGAGCTAGGACTAACCTGGAAGCCACCTTCATGAAGGTTAGCTCTCTGAGCTTTTGGAATGCACTACCCAAGCTGTTAGGAAGAATCTCAATCGATTGTCCAACTCCAGCATCAATGCCTAAAAACCACATCAATAACCAGGCACCACAAACAACATTGGTGCAGTAGTGGCACTTTTAGCTTGGGGGTAATCAGTAGCTACCTAATTGGTCTTAAAGTCCACTTAGTGGGAGGAAACTCATGTGTGGTAATGTAAACCTAGTGGAATGCAAATAGCTGGAGAGGTCATAGACCTTAGAGCAAATTCGAAGGTTGTCACATCCCTAGACAAATGTTATTTCTTACTATGTGAAAAATACAGATCCCTAAATTTATAGACAAGTATCCCAGTCACCACCCATCATAGAAGCTTCTTTTTCAAGAGACAGAGATAATTGCAGAGTTCCACAACTGGTCATACACAGAGATTGTCTGTGAATTGCCCAAGTCAAAGTGTCCTATCTAGGGTACAACCTGTACTCCTAAGGTTCATGGAGCATAGAACAAGGGATGAAGAGAACTCTAATATCTTTCAATTCTCATCAATGAAGCTCCCTCGTACAACAGACAGCCAGGAAAGCTAAAGGTAACAAATAGCCAAAATACATAGAATAAGAGTCTTCAGAGTGTGGGTCCTTGGAGAGGACTCCTATCTTAAAATCCACCCACCCAGGGCTTAGGGACCATTGCAGAAGAGGGGGCAGAAAAATTGTAAGAGCCACGGAGGAGGTATATGACAGTATGGAAATAGATTCCTATAGGTTCCTGGGACTGTTCTTATACGATCCTATAGCAATGGTGTCAGCATGCATAAGACCCATGCAAACTCAAGCAGACACAAACCCAACATAGAATTGTGGAAATGAGCAGCAGGCCCCAATCTTAGTTGAATTATTGGCAGCTGATTAATGCTAGGTGAAGAAGAGCTGATCTTAAGGGACTCTAGATAAGCTGACTAGATCCCAGTGGATGAACTTGGCAGTGAGGGGCATCTGGGGACATGAACTTTACATGATAGTCCTTATCACAAATTGCAGAATGTATGAACTCCAGGGGGGGGGGGGGGCTATGGGAGGGTGCCAAAGGAGAAGGGGGTATAAAGATGATTTTCTGTATGAAATACATAAAAGTTCAATCAAAAATTTAAAAATATATGGTTTATGTGATGCATTAGGTTCTGTTGCTGTGGTAAAATACCATTATCAAAGTCAACTTAAGGAAGAAAGAATTTATTTGGGCTTATGGGGCAAGGGAGGGTGTTTTGGATTTCTTCCTGCTCACCCTCAATATCAGCTGATTTGTAATTCTATTCAATCCATTATAATTTCTGTTAAGGTAAAAATCTATAATGCTTACAATTGAAATAAACTATTTTGTCCCACTTGGACAAGGTTAATTGTTTATAATCTATTCTTTAAATTTCATGATATTTTTTCTTAAGTTACTTTTGAATATTTTTGCTAAAGTAGATACCAATTTTTCGAAAAACAGAAATATGTCGGTGAAGTCTTTAACATCGTCAGTCAGCAGTCAACAGCCAGACCAGGATGCATTGTTGCATTAGATCCCATTACCAAGCTTGTAAGTATCATTTTTCTGCTATGCAGCATTAGGTAAATGACACATGTCAACTTACAATGGTATTTATTTATGTTCAGCATGGCAGGAAAACCCAGTTGCTTCATGTTTTTCAAGAAGACTTTATTTTGAATAACATTGAGATGAAAAGTAGGAGAAAAGAAAGCATTTTATCTGATTCAGGTAAGAGAATTTTTATATGATAAGAAATATTATACAGCTCATATTACACAGTTGATAAAGATGAATTGATACATCTCATAGTATTTCAAGTTGAAATTGTTCTGCATAGTGTTTTACTGTTCATCATAAATATTGTTATCTCTTCTGTTTATATGTATGCATTTATGGGGTCTCATTATGTAGTGGTGTCTTCCTGCCTCAGCCTCCTGAGCAGCTTGAATACAGGGATGTGCCACTTCTCCTAGATTATCTTATTCCTTTGTTAAAACAATTTTTTTTATATTATTATTTTTATTTTATGTGTTTGAGTGGATTGCCTGCATGTGAGTGCACCCATGTTGTGCAGTGCCCTCAGAGGTTAGAAGAGGGCATCAGATTCCCTGGAACTGGAGTTACTGATGGTTGTTAGCTGCCTTGTGGGTCCAGGGTTCTCTGCAAGAAAAGCCAGTGCTCTTAACTGCTGAACCGTCTCTCCAGCCCCCACCTTTTTAGTCTAAATCAGGAAATAAACACACAAAAATTGGTTCCTTGTTTTTGTGTGTCTTTTTACTTATCCCCTCCCTGCTACCCACTCCACTTCCAAGGTTTTATTTGTTTTGTTTTTAACTGTGCTGGGGATTGAACCTAGGGTCTTGAGCAAGGCAGACAAGTGCTTTACCACTGAGCCATGTCCCCATCCCGGCTGTGTCTTACTTTAAATGCACTAGAAATATTACATGATTGCTATGTGAATGCTCTTTATACGACTGGGTTTCTTCCCTGATGATTTGAATAGTGTGGACATCTGATTTTCCAGAAGCTTGTAATTTAAAGAAATAAAGGATTAAGTTATAAGGACACTAATTTAGACACTGTGTCTTCATTAATATAAATTTGAATCAAGTTACAATAAAGCATTTTTAATATACATATATAAATATATGCATAATAAAATAGCTGTAATAAAAAGTTTTAAATTTTTATTAAACTCTACCACCCTTCCTGATTATTAACTTGCATGAATGATCTGAGTTTGATCTCTAGAATCATTGTAAAAAAGCCAGGCACAGCAGCATACATTTGAAATCTTAGTGTTGTGGTGACAGGGACAGGAGGCCAGCCATTGAAGCTGAATTGGCAAGCTCCAAGTTATAGGGAGAGACCCTCTTTCAAAATACAAGATGGAATGTAGTTGAGGAATATATCTGTTGTCCACTGTACAAAGAAACTTCCCTGATGAGGTCTGAGAACTGCACTAATCTGCAGATTTCATTTTTCTTTACAGATAAATAAAATTTCATTGTGTATAGGTACCATATTTTCATTGTCCATTCATCAGGTGATGGACTCTTAGGCTGTTTCCCTGTCCTCGCTATGTGAATAGAGCAGTAATGAACATGGATGAGCATGTGTCTCTGTAGTAGGAAATAAAATTCTTGGATATCTGCCCAGGAGTGATATAGCTTGGTCGTATGGTAGATCTGTTTCTAGAGTTGTTTCAGTTTTCCTATATTGGTTGAGATTTGCTTTGTGTCCTAAAATGTGATCTGTTTTAGGGAGTGGTGAGAAGAGTATATATCTTTGGTATTTGGGTGGAATGTTCTGTCAGGTCTGTTAGGTCCACATGATCTTTGGTGTTAAATCCAGTGTTTCTTTACTTATTTTTTGTATGGTTGGTTTATTGAATGGTGAGAGTTGGTATTACAGTGATCCATGATTATTGAGTTAAGGTTCATCTATGTTTTAAAATCTATTAATGTTTGCTTTACAGAATTGGATGAGCCTACATTTGGTATATAGAATTGTAATTTCTTCTTGATGGATTGTTTCCTTGATCAGTGTGAGGTAACCTCTTATGTCTTTTGACATTTATTTGAAGTCTGTTTTGTCAGCCATTAGAATAGCAACACCTGCTTGTTTCCTGGTTCCTTTTTTTTTTTTTTTTTTCGAAATATTTTTTCTATTCTTTCAATCTAAGATAATGTTTATCTTTGGTGGCAAAGTATGTTTCTTAGAGGCAACAAAAAGGATTCTGTTTTCTAATCCAATCTGCTTGTCTATGTCTTTTGGTGATGAATTAAGGCCATGGATATTCAGAGTTATAGAAAGGTGTGTCTTGCTCCCATCCTTTCGTTGATTTTGTTGTGTTTGGGACTTAGTCTTTTCTTTTCTCTCTTTCTTCTTTTTCTTCCCTCCCTCCCTCCCTCCCTCCCTTCCTTCCTTCCTTCCTTCCTTCCTCCCTCTCTTCCTTTCTTGACCAGGTCTCCCCAGCTAACCTGGACTAGCTATGTAGACTGGGCTGGCCTCAATCTCACACAAATCTGCCTTCTTCGTCCTCCTGAGTGCAGCAATTAAAGGTCTAACCCCCGTGCCCAGCTTAGCCCTTTTTAAATGAGTATTATAGCATTGTTTAGTTGTTCCTCCTGTAGTATCCTGCATGTGTTTATTTTCTAACTTCAGATTGAAGTATTCTTTTCAGTATCCTCTGAAGGGCTGACTTGGTGGAGATGAATTCCTTCAGCCTGCTTTCATCATGGAAAGTTTTTCTTTTACTGTCAATTGTGACAGATAGTTTTGGTGGGTATCCAGACTGAGTTGGCAGTTATTATCTTTCAGACTGAAAGACATCAGTCCAAGTCCCTATGGCTTTCATCATTAGGATTGAAAAGTCAGCAGTTTTTGTAATGGGCCTGCCTTTGTGACTTGGCCCTTCTTTTCTGTAGCTTCCAATATACTTTCAATGTATTTTTCAATATACTTTCTTTGTTCAGTCCATTTAGTCTTTTGACTGTAATATGACATGGGGATTTTCTTTTCTGATCCTATCTGTTATTCTGTATGCCTCTTGTATCTGGATGTGCTTCTCATTCCCTAGATTTGGGAAATTTTCTATAGTTTTATTTAAAAATCTATTTTCAATAGGAGCTAGAGAAATGACTTAGCAGTTGAGAGCTTTTGCTGCTCATGCAAAGAACTCTGGTTCTGTTCCCAACACCCATATGGTGGCTAACAGCTGTCCATAACTCCTCCAGAAGAGCTAATGCCCTCTTCTGGCCTCCACAGGCACTGAACACATGTGATGCACAAACATACATGCAAGCAGAACACTCAAACACATAAGAAAATAAATCTTAAAAAATATTTTTCTATGTCTTTTGCTTGAAATTATTCTCTTTGTTGTATGCCTATAATGGGTAGGTTTTAACTTTCCATGGAATCCCAGAGTTCTTCAGTGCTTTCACATGTTAAAAAAAATTATCGTGGATCTTGACTGAATGATGCAGTTCCTTCATTTTGTCTTCATAACCTGATCATATGTCCTCCACATGATCCACTCAGTGAAAATTTTCACCGAACTGTTTATTAGACCTGTTATGGCTTCATTTCCATCATAATTTTGGTTTGGTTTTTCTTGAGTATTTCTATCTCCTTGCTAAATTCTAATTTCATACCACAGATTGACTTCTTATTTTTTACAGCTGTTTGTGTTCTTTTAGAAAATATTCTAGTCCTCTTTGAGTTGTTTTATCATATTTATAATTATCCTTTTTTAATTTTGCATCTGGAATTTTGTAAATATCATTTTGATCTGGGGTCATTATTGTGGGGTTGGAAATTTTTGGAGGAGGTAAGTTAGCTTGATTTTTCTGTTATTTGTATTTTTGTGCTGAGCTATATGCCCTTAACATTGGTCCAGATTTGTTGTTGGCTTGGGCTGGAGAGATGGCTCAGCAGTTAAGAGCACTGGCTGCTCTTGCAGAGGACCTGGGTTTGATTCCCAGTACCCATGTGATGACTAACGACTGTCAGTAACTCCAGTTCCAGGGGATCTAATGCCCTCTTCTGTATTCTACAAACATTGTATGACATGAATGCACTTACACACATGCAGGCAATACACTCATACACATAAGATAAAAATACTAAAATTTTTCAAAAAAGATTTGTTGTGCTTATTTTCTTCTTTTAATTCAGGTTCCTTCTTTCTTTCAGTTAATGTGTTTGCAGTGTTCAGGGGAGCATCAGTTATATTACAGTTGTGGTGATGTTTTCACCTATTAGACTAATGTTCTAGGCACCAGGCTTCATGTCTAGTCTGCCCCTGCAGGTTGATTACTGTCTGCAGGAACAGGCACGATCTAGTAGTTAACCCACTCTGATAATAGAATAGTAGATGACTACAGAATGGATACTTGTTAAGTTAGTTTAGGGAGTAAAGGGTCCTGAGTGGTAAAATGTGTACTAATATGTTAGTATGAGCAGAAAGGGAAAGAAGAGGTAGGCTGTCATGGTGAGAGTAGCCACGAGTATTGGATTGTTAAGTGGGAAGTTAAGGAGAGAGACAAACAGAGGAGTGGGAATAAATAAGGCAAAGGAAAGAATAGTTGGATATATGGGAATTTTGGTTAATGGTCTGACCAAAAGGAAGAAGTAAAAATATGTACTTAGATCTCATAAACCAGGTTAAGCTTTGGGTTTTGGGATATGCAATGGTAAGAGGAATGGATTCAGGAAAAGAGAAAGGAAGGTGGGGGGCGGGGTGAGAATGAGAATGAGAATGGTGAACAGTCAGGTCACTGCCTGCCTGCTCCAATGTCCTCCTGTGCTATATAGATAAGAAGTAGCTGTAGCGGGGAAGGAGAACTGGGTGGACATAGCAGAAAATGAGAGTGCACTACCTCTGTGTTGATTGTGTCTTCTTGGCAGTTCCACTGCTCTGCTGCTTTGTCTCTGTGGTCCGCATCTGGGCTGTCATCTCTGATTTTTACTGGTTCCTCTCTTCACTTGTGGGCTCCCAGCACCCCTGTGTGTGGAATTTTCTTGACTCTCTTCTGTGGGTAGTGGATAATGGAGGTCATCTCTGCCCAGCCATGGTTGCTGCTTTCCTACAAGGTCAGGGAGCAGCTGCTGGCTGCACAAGACCTAAAGCACCGTTTAGAGCTATGCTTAGCTGCAGCAGCTTCACCTTCCCTGTTGGGGCACCGATGGCAACCCTGGCTACAGTCGCTGGGATCCCCCCCTTCTGTGATGTCTCTACCAATGTGTAGATTTCCTGGAGGATTCTTTAGCCAAGGTTGCCTAAGTTAAAACACCACGATAGTGGTAGTGCCTATGTTGATTGCAGTCACTGGCAGTAGCAAACCTAGTCCAATGATCAGGAAAGTTGGTGGGTCCAATGGTAGAAGAGGTTTGTTGATCAAATCACTTCCAGGATGGTAGAAGTAGCTGATGGAATGACTTAAAAAAAATTCCAACCTATAATCCAGCCATTCATTCTAATGTGCTTCTAGTCTTTCGTCTTACCTGGAAATCCTGTGGTTACATTTCCTTTCTGGTGTTCTTTTTAAAAAACTTTTTTCCTATATAAATTTAAAATGGCAAAATTTTGTTGTACCCTAATAATAGTTATCCAGGACATAGTGCATACTAAGGAAACTCTCCATCAGTGATCTGTACTGACAGCTCTTTTTATTTAGTTTAAGACAGGGTCTTGCCCAGGATGCCCTTGACCTTGGGATCCACCTGTGTCAACTGTCCAAGTAGCTAAGATTATACACATGTTGGTACCTGTTCCTGGCTATAATGTAATTTTTGTTGAGATAATTTTGTACATAATGAAGAATAGCTTTTAATATACAGAAATTGCATTAAAATCTGTCATAAAGGAAGCAATAATCATCCAGTGGTTTTATAATAATTTCAGAAAGATACATTTGCTTATTTGTTTTGAGCAGCTTTTTTGCTATTTAAACTTTGTAGTGTGGACCAAGAAAGTTTTTCTTTCTTTTAGTTTTTTGTTTGTTTATGTGGTGGTGGTGGTGATGGTGTGTGTGTGTGTATGCGTATGCAGATGTGCATGTCCTGGGTGTATACTTTTGGAGGTCAAAGGACAACTTTTGGGAGTCACTTCTTGCCTTCTACTTTGTCTCTCTTCTTTCTGCGGCTGCACTGCTTACTTCAGGCCAGTTGGCCTGCAGACTTCCAGGCAATTCTGTCTGCCTCCTGTCTCACCTTAGGAGCACTGAGATTACAGATGTCTGCTAGCACATCAGGCCATCAGGCTTGTGTGGCAAGTGCTTTTACTCATCTCCACAGCCCAAGAAAGATTGTTTTGGCTGGGAGTGATGACATATGCATTTAGTTCCAGCACTCAGGAGACAGAGGCAGATGGATCTCTGTGAGTTGGAAACCAACCTGGTCTACATAATGAGTTCCAGGCTAATTGAGGCTGCAGGGAGACCCTGTCTCATTAATTAATTAATTTCTTGAATAATAGCTTTATTATGAATATTTAACATCTCTGTTTTGGAACTTTGAAATATATTAACAACATAAATTTCATTGTGATGTGTTGGCTTAAAGTACATATCACAGTTTCCACCTATTTATAAATTAAGTGGGAACTTAATCTGATCCCACTGTGAACAGTTCCATAGTAAAGTGTAATAAGACTTTTAATTGTAAAAAAATTAATTTGACATTAAAAGTTTAAGCTTTAAATTAAAAATAAAAATAAAATTTACACATAGCATAGCATAAAATTATTAAAATTTTAAGTTAATATGAATTATGTATAAAGAATTCGAATACCTTCTGTAATGATGCTTTGCATTTGGAACCCTAGGTGAACATTTTTAATTTTCTTTCTCTAAAAACAAAAAAAACTACTTAAACTTGTTATGTTTAGTAGACTTTCTTATCCATCTGTGTTAATAGCAAAAAATATCCCTAATGCCAACAGGCAGTTCACGTAATGGATTTTCTGAAAAGTTTTACCTAGTTGTAATAGAGTCCACTCAAGATCACCGCTCTCTGTTACGCATGTGGAATCTGCATTTAAGGTCAATTCCTGTCTCACTAGGTAAGTCTTTTTTGTTTGATTTTGTAGTTCAAAGTAAACTATCAACAAATCATAACATGATTAAACAGTAGTAGGGCCTCTGTCTCTCTCTTTTTTGGGTAAACAATTTAT